ATTGGGGTTGAGGGTTGAGGGAGGGGGATGGGGATGGGGGGTTAGGTACCTTTGAGCAAGCCGGCGACGAAGACGTGCATGTCTGATTCCGCTGCGGCGTTGACGATGACCACGCTCCCCTTGGGCAAGGCGAGGAGCTTGTCGCAGATGGTGCTAGGTCCATTGATTCTGATGTCCTCGATGGTGATGGAGTGGATTTGCTCCGGGGTGAATCGTCCCGGCGCCTTCTCTAGCACGTAGTCGTGGAGGTTGGAGCTCTTGAAACCGAAGGTGGCGTCGCGGGCGAATTGGGTTGCGCCGGCGGGGACGAGGTTATCGCCTTCGGCGACGTAGTGGACTTCGTTGATGGTGAGACGGCCGCCTTGGAAGAAGAATGGGGCGAGGATGATGGCGTCGGCGGGACCGAAGACGGATTGCGCGACGTCGGCTTCGAGGGGGAAGTGGCCGCGGAGAGTACTGTCGCCGCGCAGGACGATGTCCACGGTGGTTCCGGCGACGCTGGCGGCTTGTTTGACGTTTTCGCAGATATTGCGGATGAGCTTCTCGGCGTCGATGGGGGGTAGGGCGCGCGAGTTGGTGAGGATGAAGAAGCCCGGGGAGGGTTGTTGCAGCTCGGCCTGGAGAGTTGGGATGTCCCAGACTGTGAGGACGGCGATGTCATGGCATGTCTGGGTGCCGGTTGGGTCGTCGTCGAGCACGACGAGACGACTGAGGGACGCGGTGGAGAGGAGCTCGGAGATTTGGTCTTGTGCGTTGAGGGAGGATTCTGGGGGCAGCTGGGATAGGGTGCTCTCGCGGGGCACCACGGGGTATTCGCGGGGAGTGGCCATTGTTAGTCAATTGCGTGGGAGGGTTTCTGGGGGAGTTCACTTGGGGAGAGAAGCAATTGAGATGCTTTAATATAATGTGAGGTGGAGCAAGAAGAGTTGAAATGGAGGGGAAGCGGGGATCGGAGAGAAAGCCGATGCAGCTGGATATCTCCACCAAATAGCAATGATATCATGAACAGGACACAACTGATGGATCCAAAATGTTGGTCGATTCAATAAGGTAACTCCTGTCTCGCATGCTATATCCATAGGAAGATCAGGGCAGTGACAAACAAGCAACCCATGCAGAATCCCCCAAAGCGCCATGACATGTGCAGCAATGCAAGCCGGTCATCGTGAGTGAACTGAAATGAAGTGACAAAAGGAAATTCAATGATCGCACATATGGGCTTCCAATCCGTCATTATACATGTCCTCCCTTGTATTTTCCATGAGAAGCAGAAAGAAAAAAAGAAAAAGAAGACAAAAACCCCTGGTTGTATCCCGACACTCCTCCCCAATTAACCTCAATCCTCGCGAATTGATGCAAAGCAGAACCAAAACCACCCTAGACACGACATAGGAGAGTGCATTAGCAGACACGTTGTGATTAACGTAGAATGAAGAGCATGACGCAAAGAAAAAGAAGGGACAGTCAGGATGGACTGTTTCAACCGACAACACTGCGGAAGCTCAGCGCTTCCAGGAAGCCTCCCAGGTCTTCCTTCTGCACCTCAACCACGCAGTGCTCAAAGCTATCAATGCGTACTCGAGCACTGGTTTCTTGCACCACTTCCTGGAATGCGATTCCAAACCTATTCCGCAGAAGGTGCTTGTTGCTGCGCAGGTCCTGTTCGTCTTCCGACTCGGACTCGGATTCAGACGACGATTCCTCCGTCTCCTCCTCTTCCTCGTCATCTTCACCGTTGGCAGCGCGCTCGGCAGCGCGCTGCGCCCGACGCTCCTCCCGCTCCTTGCGCTTTTTCTCCTTGGCTTCTTTCTTTTTCCTTCGTTCCTCTCGCCGTTTGGCGAGGGCGGCAAAGTCAACCACTCCGCCACCTCCTCCTGTACCCACGACCACATACAAGCCTCGGTCCTCGTCAAGCCCAGCAAGAACAAGCGGTGTGCCCAGGGCCCGTCTGCGTCCTACCTTGACGGAGTCTCCTCGTTCCCTCTCTTGTACCCGGATCGCCTCAGCAACCCACAAGGCTAGTTTGGTCAATGCTCCCGGATTGGTGAAAAGCTTCACGTCCGGACCATCTTTGACAACGGCGATGCGAAACGCTCGCAGATGACGAATCTGGTGCTTTGCGAGTAGGGAAGTACCAGTGCGAAGTATGGCCCGGTGCAAGTGCTGGGCAAGAGGGAGAGATGACAGCAGAAGCGTCGGCGACTCTGAAGTCAATGACAGCGCGTCGTAGGCACTCCAAAAACGGGGCAGCAGGCTGGCCAGATCTGACTCGGTAGACCCATCAGCATTGGTCGCTGTAGCGGTCTTGGACGCGCGTTTGGCATCCCACACCCCGGGGGCTTCTTCAGGCCCGACTTCAAGGATTGCACCGACGATAACACCCACATCGGTGGCAGAGAGACAGGCTTTCCAGCCCCAACAGCGCACAAAACCCCATCCCTCGCGAGAGACAGCATGCCCAGACGCCTCCGGCGGAACAAGTCCGTCTAAGCCGTACATTGGCGCATATTTCAAGAGACGTTGTCGTAGTACTCGCTTCAGCTCCATATCCATATGGGTATAGTTTTGATGGCTCTGGTTCAAGCTGATGCCCATCTTCGCCAGCAGTTTGTGTAGTCGTTTCTTTCCGTTCTCCGTCCACACATGAAGTCTGGATGCCAGATACGGGCTGTGTAGCATACTGTCATAGAGCGACCAATGCCGCACGAGGATGAAACGCGGTTCAGGCGATAGCCGGATCGACTTGTCTGTCGGAGAACGTGCCGTAGTCGGAATGACGCCGTTAATTTCGCCTCTGATGTCGCGATCTCGCTCATATGGATCAGGAGGGTTTAATCGCAGGACTTCATCCCGTAGGATCTGCCGTATTCGTTCGCCTCTCTCTCCACCCCAGCCAGCCGAGCCGCCGTACTCCAGCGCATTCGACACACCCACTCCAGACATGGTACGGCCACTCAGTTCCAAGCTCGAGACACCCACAATGGCCAGCCACAGCAGATCGTTGTCTTCACGACCGAGCTCGGACGCAAGGGAATAGACGATGGACGATATCGGTTCCGAATACGACGTCCCTGACGAATAGTAAGTCTGTAGCACATTCTCGTGCTTCCTCTTCATGCGCAGCAATCGTCGTCGTAACGTGCGCGCCGACGGCGGCTTGGGTTGTAACGGCGACGGTGAATCTGATGTTGGTGTAACCGAGCGAGACGAATTGGACGAATCATGCATAGCTCTCCGCGGAGGGCGTGACGGCGACGAAATGATATAGGATCCCTACAATGAGCACATTAGCACCAGCCTCAGCACAGCAAGAACGTATACTACACACCGAATCACTCCTTCTCCGCTGACGTGGAGGCCCATCTTCATCATCCGACTCGTCGTCCTCATCCTCGCGCGACCACGACTTGCGTTTCTTGGAATCCGCACTCGAGGGATGATCCTCGTCGCGATCACTCCCCGAGTCGCCATCCTCATCCTCGTCTTCATCCTCCTCACCCACTTCGGGCATAGCCAGTAACTCACAATATGCCTCCCGCTCCTTCCCCAACTCCTCCTCAATATCCCCATCATCATAAACCACAATGCCCCCATTGCCGGACGTATACGCCGACGTAATACACCCTTTCTCAACACCGCGCGACCCTCGTCTCGCACCCAGATTTACCATCCCCATAGCATCAGCCGCCGCAGACGGCCGCCCCTCACCCCCAAACACATTAGCCAGGTTCCACGGCCGCCTAGCATCAAACACCCACACCTCAACCCCGCCCATATCTTCTTCCTCTTCTTCTTCCTCATTGCTCAAGCATAATATCTCGCTCAAATCCACCAGGCCGCCCACCCCCAGACACACAACTACCCCACCACTCCCGCCATTGTTCGTCCGCATGGGCTTGACCAATTCCTCGCCCGCGCGCGCGAGATCGCCATACCCGGCTACCGGCTGGATCTTGTGCGGGATGTAGTCGCGCTTCAGGAGCGCCGTGAGGATCCGACAGGCACAGAGAGCATCGGGTTCGAGGGCCACGAGGATCAGAACAGGTGGGGAGAGTGGGTGGTGTGAGCGGAGGAGTTGTTGGTAAAGGTGGGAGATGAGTTGGCGGGGGAGATACATGGCGGTTAGAATTGGATTCGCGGCGTGAAGAGGGTCGAATGGGGGTTTTTTGTTGAACCCTCGTCAGGCCGTGAGGAAAGAAGCAGTCGCGGTAGGAGGTGGTGTGGTTCTATTCAGTTAGTGAGCGAAGGAGGAATTGGCTGAAGCACGCGGGTGGGCAAGTATGAGGGCGACGAGAGGGAGGGATAGGGCCGTGTCGGAGAGTACTGAGAAGTGCCTAGAATTCTAAATCTGAGTCGTAGAACAGGAAACTAGGCAGGTAGACTTAGTTGGCGGCGACTCAGAGGTAAGAGACAAGAGTCGTCCACGCCATTGTTTCCTGATGTTGTTGTTGCTTGTGGGTGTTTTCTGCGGAAACCAGGCGATGTAATAATCGAGCGGCGCGCATCGCCAGCCCGAAGACGCGTCTGGCACGTGCGGAGGTCCGCCCGCCAAGCCCGGGTTTTACTCTTCGCAAATAAAATCAATTTTACTCAAAAGGCGCTGCTCGTTGGCATGTTGCAGGTCTCCACGTTCTTCACTTCTTCAGAATGTTGCACTGCAGACGGGCTTGTTTCGAGGGGCAATGGGAATGGCTTTCCTAAATTGGCTGTCGAAATTGTTGGTTTTATCCTCAAAGCGTGGCTTGAACTTGGGTTTAGTCCCAAAGCATATTGCCTTGCCCTAGGCTGGATGTCTGTTCAAGAAACAATGCATTCATCTGTGTACATGCTATGCTGATTATAACAGTGGAAGATTGTATGATAAGAAAAGGACACCTGAAACGCCATCCCTGCGCTATCCGGTTAACATAGACCCCGGGTGCAGATATGCTCTAGCCTCCAGGTCAGTAAACTCAGAATTAGTTTATAACACGCATCAAATGCAATATTCTGCCCCAAGATCAAGCCGAGGTCCCGCCCAAGATCGATCCCGTAAGCCAGACAGCAGCACACGCGCCCACGACGGAAACCCCGACCAACCGCTTCTGCCACGTAGATTCCTCTGACATCTTCGCCGGCCCAACCTTGGTCCTGACCGTGTAATGCGGGGAAGGTTCCTTATGCGCACTGGCATCCTTTGACACCAAGGACTCGTTCTGCCGGGCGAGATAGTCCTGGTCGCGGGCGCGCCATTTGTTCACGAGTCGGGCAATCTCAATCAAATCCTCCTGCAACGAGCCTGGCTCGGTCGCATTAACATTCTCAACTTCGACGTTCTGCACATTCCCAAAGAAATCTGCCACGGTGCGAAGCCGTCCCTCCTGCTCGCCGCCAGGGAACAGGTCCCATCTGACGCCCGGCTGGGAATGGATCTTGGACTCATCGTACGAGTCGAACAAGTCGCCCAGCGTGAGCTTCGAGTTGGCACTCGTCACCTGTGTCTCCAAAAACTCCAACACATAGTATGTCCAGCGATCGATCACCGCAACCCCGACATCGTTGTCCGCATGGTGGGAGTAGGAAGATTGGTCAAGCTCACTGGATCCGGTGGCGATGATGTTCGGCGAGTAGAAATGCGTATACATAGTGTTGGCCTGGCAGGTATCAATCATGAACAGGAGCTCATGGTAGCGCTTCTTTTCCCACATCTGACCGAAGGCGTCCGCCAGGTCCCAGGCTCCGATTTCCTCGGAGTCCTGGAACTTCAGGAACTGGTCGCCGCCGTGACCAGTCATGTAGACCAAAACATTACTGCCCGCGTCGGAGCCAAGTCGCTTGCTGCGTGGTACATCTTCGTCCAGGCGATCCGTCAGAAGGCGGATGAAGTTCTCCACGGTGACCTCGTACCCCCGATAGTCGACCTCAATGTTGTCGCCGTAAAGATCAACGGCGCGATCCGCGTTACTGTAAACGGTTCCGGGGAAGGCATTGCGAGGGTTACAGGCCATGTCATCGGGGAGCATCAGGATGATCTGCGAGTCGGGGATGCCCAACCGCTTGACGGTGCGATACAAGGAGAGGACATTGGCGAGATGACGGTAGTTGAACCAGAAACGGGAGGTTGAGACGAGGACGGCCCAGTTGGAGGTATGTTCGGAGGACACTGTGACGGTGAGGGCGAGTAGAAGTAAAGGCAGGACTCGAAGGAGTCCTGAGTAGGGCGTCAACATGATCGGTGATGGGATGTTAAACCATCGCAGACACCTGCAATGATGATCAATCAAGCCGCATTCGGGGAGGGAGTCGGAGGTGTTCCTGAGGCAGGAAGGCGGAGATGCGGGTAAAAAGGCTTTAACCGCATATGGCATAGTTCCACAAGTGACGTATTCAGGATGTTTGAGCTATTTGACTTGTTTGGGGTGTTTACATCAATTGGGCTTGAAGCAGCGCGCATTACCCTGTCCTGAGGTAGATATTACTAGAGACTGCTATTACATACAACGCAAACCAAACAGCACATACATAGATAGACATTCTGGTTCCACTCATATCCCTACATCATATTCTTCCTATTCATCTTTCCAGCCGGGCCCTGTTCCCACATCATGATCTGATCAACATGGCGTCTCACCCTCGGATAAACGTCTTGATAGGCTGTCGCGCCCATCCAGGCATCCAAATGTCCCTTGCCCGTGAAGACTTCCCGCTCGTACCAATCCCTTCCGTGCACATTACAAAGTGTCGTGTATGAGATATCCGTGTTCTCGGCAGTAAACACCATGTTTCCAGTTCCTGATAGGAACAAGATCGGAATTCCCTTCAAACGTTCGAGGTTTTCCGGCGTGACGAGATTGGTGAAAGCTGGCCCGTTGGCTAGAACGCTCTCCTTCCGGCCGCTCTCCATGAGCCATTGAAGGGAACGCATTGAGGTGCCGCCGAGGAAGCGTTCGAGTTGGGTGTGCGTGGCGTCGTTGAGGTTTTTATGGGTCCAAAGACTGCGGTCTTGTTAGGTGATTGTTGCTGGCGGATGCACAGACGTCTTTGGAACACTTACCGGCCAAATACAAGTTCGCTTCGATGGCAGACGACCGATCGGCACGACTCCCCGGCCTCCCCCTGAGGGTAAAAGCGCAACGCCTGGTTCAACAGTGACTGGATATAAGTGTCGTTGCGGCTACTGGTGCAATCCCAGTACGGACTGACCAGTCGGGCATATAGGGATGTGGGAAAATTGGACAGGAGACTATCAACCTTTCCAAACTTGGGGTTCATGAAAACCATTGATGCGGTGATTCCTTGAATCCAGTCACTAGGGATTGTGCTGTCCAGTAGGCCGCAAGACAGTGCTAGGGAGCCTGCGCAGTAGGCCACCACGTAGACCTTAGGAGGCTCGGACGGACTCATTGTGCTGATAACCTTGCGGATGTGGACAAGAGCAGCGTGTATATCGCGCCGTGCATCATACGGTGTGTACCCTTCTCGAGCGATCGGAGCTCGTCCGACTCTATGAGTGATACAGTAGATACGATAACCGGACTCGCGGAAGTACTCGACTGCATTCCTCTCTATGGTAGGAAGAGCGAACATCTTGTGGTCAACTGCTGCTCCTGGTATAAAGAGTAAGGTTGGGGCAGGGCCCAGAATATCCTTTCCTTGGAAGGTGGGATTCCACATCACCATGTTTGTGGTGACTCCGTCAGATGCTGTCAATGGAATGGTGGAGGATGGAGTTACTTCTTTAGAAGCGTAGTTCAGCGTTGTGTCTGGCCACTGAAGTTGCCCAAGCGCCGAAAGAAATGGCACGGAAAGCTGTTTCGCAAAGTAGGCGAGAAAGCTCGCTGCCGATTTGGCCCTTGTCCACAGCGATGGCCCACTTGTTTCGAAGGTTTTCAGTTCGTAACCGAAATCGTCTGGCAGAATGCGCAGCATACCGCGGCCTACTACTATATTGCTCGCATCTGTGATGGTGACATACAGCGTGCTGGTCTGTCTCCACAGTTCAAGTGGGTTGAGGAAGGATGCACTGTTCACGACTTTGTAGCCGTTAAAATGCAGTTTTCTCCCACTGGTCGATATCATGTCAAAGTTATAGGTCAGGTTCGCTGTGTCTGGTTGCCGGGCATCGTAGTTGAACAGTTGGAAGGTGCCTCTGTGGACCAAGAAGACACCTCCAAGCGTGTTGCAAGTAAATGTTCCCGTCAAGTTTGCCAAATGTTGGCTGCTCTTTACCACTGTAAAGCGTCAGTGGAATTTGACTAGAGGCTTATATGTAACAGCATAAACTCACGCTCCTCAGCACTCCATGCTTTGACGCTCAGGAAGAATCGTGCATTCTCGCAGCGACCTCGAGCAAGCTTCGTCGCGACCTCAAAGTCTTTAACGTCAGGACCAGTGTATATGAAGCCAGTCATGATCTCCGAGAACACGACACCGGTGTTTTGATTTTCAGTGGCTTTCGCAAGCCTGTATGCAAGTTGCGCGGTTTCTGCATCTTGAGGAGAACGATATGCCGGAGTACCGAACATGTCCAATTGACCTGAGGCTGTTAGCGAGGGAGAAGCGTTTTCGTCTCTGCCCAGTACCCACCGTTCTTCGTGTTATAGTCGATAGCTATATTTCGCCTCCGGGCTACCATCTCAACTGATCTCTCAGCAAAGGCTGTAATGGTCGCAAATGGATTGACGCCAACAGCTGCTGGCAGCGCAGAGCTGTCGCACACGACCAGTCCTTCATACGTTTCGCTGCTGTTTCCCTTCAATACTTCCCCAAGGTGATTGACCACTCCATTGTTCCCAGTGTTGTCTTTGCTGATGCGCGCTCCACCTCTGCGGTAAATGTTAGGTACTTCAACTGGTGCCGGGTCTACCGCTAATGAACATACATGGGATGCACTGTGATCTCCTGCCTACCCAAAGTACTCCAGACTGGGTTGGCTATAAAATTTCCACCAACAGCAGCTGTCATTCTCTCGAGGATACCATGGATGCGAGATACAGATTTAGATCGGCCCACACCCGAGTATGTTAGCACCGGCTTGTCTTTCTGGAGTGATAGTCTGCCTTGGCTACCTGCAATATTGTGAGAAACAGTTCTTATAAACTGACAAGCATGCAAGGTGCTCACTGTCATGCGACATGATCAAATATACGGCAGTCTTCTGCACACTTCCCTCGGGTATGTATGGCCCAAGCTTGCCTTTCAGTCGTGCGACAAACTTCTCTACACTCTCAATAGGACTGTACTTGGGACGTTTCATATCTGGCAAGTATTCCAACATGCTGAACATGAGTGGGGCAAGAGCGTATGGTACTGCACAGTCTTCTACCACGAACCCATCCAGAACGTTTTCCTGATCCCTCAGATCCAGGACTGAAGTTATGCATGGTCCTACGGGTCGCTCAGGCGTAGGTTCAGGACGAGCTATGCAGTTAGCTTCATAGTCGGTATTGTACCTGTTACAGCGTCTCAGTTCTGTGTCCATGAAAAGCGCAGCGATGAACTTGCCCAAAGCCCAACATATCCCCGTTGCCGCTCATCTCAGTGCCGACGTCATCGCTCAAGTCCAAGCCCATCTGTCTGCTGCGGAGCAGGATCTCGGTTGTTCCGATGCTTCCAGCTCCTAAGAAAACGAATTTTCTTGCATGCACCCACATAAGGTCGTCAAAGAAAGTGCTGAAACGGTCTCGTCCACAGGAGCGCCACGCGAAGTATATAATGTATCCTTCACGATCGGGGGCTTTGGCAACATATCTGACCTCGCAATTACAGAAGATCTCGGCACCCCAATTCCATGCATCACTGAGATAGTTCACAAGCGTTGTAGACTTGCTGCCGTCGTTGACACCAGTCGCATCCATTCCCGTCAGCTGTGACGCCTGCATGTAGACTCCCGTAGAGTTGGGGCCGTCCTCAAACCGAGTTGTTTGCGGAACACGGTGGAATTTATCGCCCCAGCTCATGAGCTCCGATTGCCTTTTGAGAAGGTCGGCTTTGAGAAGCTTTGGGAAAGTCGGAGGGTACTTGGCAGGTTCCAGAACGCTCCTTGCGCGGTCATAATCTGGAAATCATCAGAAACGGGTCCAAGGGAGAGCAATTCCGGGTCCTGGAATTGTGCGATATCTAAAGGTCACGAAAGTGCATGCTTACACTTTTTCCATGCCTCGTGTCCTCTCAGTTCCTCTGGCCAGACTCCCATTTCCAGCACTTTGCGATGGGCTTCAAGGAACACGTTGGCATTCAGAAGGCTGGTGCCACCGAGACCGTTACCCATATATACGTTCTGGCCTTCGCCTACCACGAAGTGGTATAGGCCATTTGGGTTCCCCGCGTCAACCATAGCTCCAGGAATACTTCTTCTGTCGCCGGGAGCGAATTGACCGCTGACGTGAAGCTCCTCCACCGCATCCTCCAGTTTTTCAGGGAACTCACCAGGCCATCTCTCCCTCCCTCGCTCGAGGACGCAGACGCTCTGCCCTCCTCTGGCCATTCGACTGGCGGCCACGCCCCCTCCATACCCTGAACCAATGGCCACCACATCGTAGGAGTCTCGCATGAGCTCTACTGGCATCGAGATACGGGGGAAACGGCTTTGGGATTGTGGTCCCTTATCAGCTCCGTTAGCGGAGTGAGCTTGAGGCTTTCTGGACGGAATTCCATTGTAGGGTGAGCCCCCATTTGGACCATCGTGCACTCCGTTCATCCCATTCACTGTGTGCTCCGCACTTCTGATTCCGTCTTGCATTGCAATTATTTTATCCGTGTTGATAGATTGTCTGTTCTGAGACCGAGTATCTACGGAGGCAGGTATATGATGAATTCAAAATCGAGCAGGGCGCCTTGTCAGCTTATTTCAGGCCTTGGCTTCCGAAAGTAAGTCGTAACAGAAGAGCATGGGGCTGGTCACGACTATGGGATATCTTGCTCACCCATTTCGATACGAGTAGGTCTTCAGTCCGTCACATGTCGCGGCATAGAACAATCGTCATGTTCATATGAAAAAAAATGTTTCTGGGCGTTAATCGACCCCGCCCGCATCGTATAGTCAAGGCTGAACTAACTCTGTCGTCTGAAGAGAGTTTCCGCAAGCAGCTACACCACCAGTTCAATGGTGTGTAAAGAAAGGCTGAATTGACTTTGTGGCTGGATGTAAGTAAAGTAACGGTCCGCAGACAATCTGGCATGTTGTGGCTTGAGAATCTCGGCTCCTCAGGCCGAAGAGAATCTAGGTCAATTAAACTCAAGCTTGACGATCCGGGGCCCTTGGCTGGTCATCTTGAGGCATTCCGTGGCGCCTCCAGCCATTACTTCATTCGTCAAACCAGGCAAACCACGGGGTTCCCGATCGGTCATCCCGGCGAGTGCGTCAAGTTCTAGGCTGCCACATGAGATGCCTGAGGAGACAATCATTTGACGTCTTGGAAACTATATCTACCGCCATCAACTATTCATACAACGAAACTCAGGAGACTATGTCTCATCACTTTCACAAGCTTTACACTTGACCACTTTGTTGCCAACTTGTCACCATGCCTGCTGGGTCTTGTCAAGTCTATGGCTCCGTATCTGGTGAGGACATCAACAGTTACCCCAAATATACTGGTTCGCCCTTGTTGTTGTTCCTCGCTGATCTGTGGCTCTTCCTCTGTAATATCTTCTACCTACCATGCATTTTCTTGCCTCTCACGCCATGGCCATGTGGGAGTCTGGATGAGCTGTACCCTTCTCTAGCCAATATCTTCGACATCTGTCTTCATTGTGTTTTGTTTGTCCTCCAGCTCGTCTTTCTTGTCTCACTCCCATTGTTTATCTGGCTACCATTCGGCATCTACGTTCTGTATATTGTGACCGCTCTCGCCTTGAATACGCTCATCTGCTACGCTTTGAACCGGGGTATCCCAGCAGACGGTCTCAGGTCGACAGAGGATGATTTCTCAAGACGGTGGAATCGCCATGAGGACGAGTATTGGATATTCCTCAATGGAATTTGCGTTGGGTTAGTGTTCATTTCCATCCTATCTTGTGAGTATAAGACTGACCGAATCAGGAGGAACTGGCTACAGAATAACGTCGATCGCATATCGCGGACATTCCACCGTCCAGTAGTCGGCGTCCACAATAAAACGTATGCTTCCCCATCCTTTGTTAAGGTTCAAACAATCCAGATTTATGGATATCTGATAGTGGTTAGAACGGGTGTCATATTTGACATTATCCAATGCCTCATTCAACGTTGTCTGTTGTACGCGACAAATGATGTCCGAGACTGCTACGTGTTGGTTAGAAGAGCACTGTACCGGCCAGAGGTAAAAAAGGTTGTGTTAATCCTGCACTCGCAAGGGGGTATTGAGGGCGGAATGATCCTGGATTGGCTCCTTGATGAAGTACCACAGGATCTCATCCGACAACTGGAGGTTTACACCTTTGGCTGTCTTGCAAATCACTTCAACAACCCGTATCGCGACACGGCATCGTGTAACGCAGCGATGCGCTATGTGCGCACAGGAGACATCACTGGCAATGTCCAGAATCGCAGCATCTTACATATTGAGCACTACGCCAACAAACGTGATTTTGCATGTCGATTTGGGGTGCTGAATTTCGACCACAGTAAGCCCCAGGATCGCCGCGAAAATCGATTCATGGGTAAAGTGCTCGTTAGTCCCGCTTCAGGCCACCAGTTCAATCAGCATTATCTTGATACGATGTTCCCACTTGACCCAACCAACCGCTTTACGCGGGAGCCACGGGAGGGCGACTTCATGGACACAGATGTCATAGTACGTCGGCATGATAGGCGTGAAGAAGATAGGCCTGTCACGATCCTAGATGCAGCGGGGCTGTTGGACGCAGGCACTGGGGAAGTAGATGGCACTAGTTTGAACTCGGTACTCTCCGGTAGTGCGCAGAACATGAAAGTTGGGCTGAATATGAAGTTGAAGATGCACCAAATGAGCAGATTGTGGCTCTATCGAAATGGTGGTCGTCCAGTCTCGTGAGCTTGCTTTCTATCTGCAGGTGTGAGATAGGCTTTTTGTACCATAGGTTCTTCTGAGCGAGAATGTGGGATACTAAGTGCGATTCATACGTAATTTGATCATTGGCCTTGCTCTCACAGCAGTCATTGAGTTGTGCAGCTGAGGATAGCTCCAAACTGAAAGTCTGGCTTGTCGCCTTACGCGTACTCAGTAAATGATTGCTTTCGCGATAATAAAGCCTCGGCTGTCTGGTTGACATAGAAGGCCACTGCCAAAAATCCTTCCAATAGGACACTCAGAAATTATCAGGTGCCTATGCACTTGCAGGACACTTTGCTCCGTCATATGGCAGTATATATGTTAAACTGTGCACAAGTCCGGATAAAATTATGAAGAATCGAGATGCCTCGGCTATTGCCTGAATCGGAAAGCCCGTGCTCCACCGAACCGGCGTGTGAAGGCGGCCTCCTTAACCCCCGCCAGATCTTAAGACTTTCTTCTTCCTTTGCTTCGTGCATATTCCTGTGTTTCAACTCCTTACTTGTCTCGGAGTCGGAAAAGCACTAGATATGGCGGAATCAGCGACTCTTTTCAAACCTCCGCCGTTGGATCCCACCAAGGCGCCCGTTGAGAATGTGTTAGAGCTGACACCGGTGATTGACGTGGGGAAAGTATGTCTTTCCCTCCCATCTCTTTAGTTCTCGCGAGTCCAACGGTTTTCTCTCTTTCAACAGGATGTGTTCACCAATACGCGACCCCTTTGGCATCCGCCTGGTGCGCGAGGCATCTACGGCGGTGCTGCCATCGCCCAGTCTCTCGCCGCTGCGCTACGAACTGTTCCCGCCGATTTTGCCGTCCATAGCATGCACTGTTACTTCCTCCTCGCCGGTGACTCCGAAATCCCTATACTGTACCACGTGGAGCGAGTACGTGATGGAAGGAGCTATATCACGCGGACGGTACAGGCCAAACAGCGCGGTCGCCCCATCTTCACCACAACACTGAGTTTCAACAAGGCCAACAGTGGCGGCAAGAAGAAGCTCGAGCATGCATCTTCGATGCCAGCTGTCACTCTGCCAGAGGAGCCTGGACCGGGGTCTAAAAGGAGGTTCGAGGAATCAGGCGGCGGGCCATTTGAATCACAGAAAGCGGGGGTTATAGATCGTCAGTCTTCATAGTGTGTCGGTAGAGCTTGAGGTTATATGCTGACTGTCTCAGGAAACCGTCCTCCTCAGGAGAGGAAAACGAGACGATTCATGCGGTCACGGGGCAAGATTTCCGATGCGGGTGGTCATCAGGCTCATCTTTCCGCCCTTGCATATATGACCGACAGTTATTTCATTGGCACTGTGTCCAGGGTTCACAACATTCCTCGGTTCTCTTCCCCAGAGGAACTCAAGAAGGCACTAAATGCGCTCAAGAACCCGTCTGACCTGGATGATGAGGATATTGCGCGCGCTCTCAAGGAGCTGAAGGAAGAAGAAACGGCAGATTTACGCCGTCGCTTGGAGGGCGCTTTGCACAGAGTAACTAACCAGCCACCCCAGGAACATAAGGAAGTGGGCATGATGGTCAGTCTTGATCACTCAATCCACTTCCATAACCCTTGGGCATTCCGGGCAGACGAATGGATGCTTACAGAAATGGAGAGTCCTTGGGCCGGTGAGGGACGAGGTTTGGTTCTGCAGAAAATCTGGTCAAAGGATGGAACATTGATCGCTACATGCACCCAAGAGGTATGTGTGATGAGTGCTTTTACTGAAAAGACACGTCTAATGAGTTGCTTTATAGGGAGTCGTGCGCCTCAAACAAGACGAGCCACCTCGGTCTAAGCTTTGATGAGGACACATGCTGTTGACGTCCAGTCGTAGTAGATATACCCGTATTTGTGCATTCTCGAGTAAATTATGTTAGATAGTATAGATTTGATTAATAGTATATAGTATAGTCGGCAACGAACCGATCAGATTCCATCATCTTTAGTCATTCCTCGTCGGATTCTTTCGTAGGTCTCTTGGGGCACATCCATATATTACTGGCACCTGAAATGAAATTCATATAGTCCAACTGTAAACATTGGTGCTACTGGATACTATAGTTTTCAATTGAGAGCAAGTAGTAGGCTCCTTCTCACATGAAAAGGTAGAAGTGTGTGCATTCTGGGCTGGTCTGAAGTCTCCCAGGCGAACAACTATAATATATCAAGATTGCTCAAGTCATGCAGATCGTCAACGGTATCATGAAAATGCAGAATAATACAGACAATAAAGAAACAATGCTTTGACCGGAGACTTTTCAAATCAGACAGCCGCCCATCCGTTTGATGGCCCAATGCAAGAAGCGATGCAAAACGCAAAAAATGCAACAGAAAGCCTCCCATGCGATGGCGTCCTTTTCGCCGCCTTCCCCTTCTTCCCTCCTTCCCTACCTCATTAATCTTCAACCATTACACCATCATCTTTTCAGGGTCTTGTTGATACATTCGGCTTTTCTTTTCACAGTACTCCAGAGCCTTAGGGCCCCAGACCTCTCTTCCCTTGTATTCACCCACATACTCTGGCCAGCTCTTAATCTCTTTGGCAAGGTTTTGCAATTCCTGCATCGGTAGCTCGTCCAGGGTTGTCAAGATGGTTTTGACACCAAAGACGAGTGCTCCGGTACGAGGGAGTCGACGGAAAGTTTGCCGCTCGCGACGAATGACAATATCTTGCGGCGTTGGATCCGGATTCTCCTCAGATAGAGAAGTTGGTCGATAGAGGATCTCAAATAAATCTTCATCGGGCCGCTTCACTTCGACGAAGTAGTTGGATCTTTCCATGGGCGATGCCGGTGTGAGCCGAGCCAAGAATCTGGAGTAAGAATGTTAGCCTCTCTCCTTGCTTCTGCAATTCGCCTTTACTGCCAGTGAAAACATCCAGAGTACTTACTTGCTGACTGAATTGGCGACCTGCTGATGCCACAGTGGTACAGGGTTGTGAAGCTTGGAGATGGTCCACCCAATGCGGTCTTGAACTGTCCAGCCAACGGGGAAAAGGCTTGCGCTGGCGGCGCTATTCATATCGGTTAGTCGGTCAATTTGGATGCGGAAACAGGATTCTAAGACTAACAGATAGTACTCGTCCTCCTCGTTTTTCATCAGAATACTCAGGTCCTCCATCGTCAGTCTGACGGCGATTTCTAGAGGATCGACGTCTTTGTTCTTCCCTCCAAAGCAAAATGTCTCTCCGGTCATCTTGTTGTGCACAGTCGTTTCATCGCCGCACTTTTTCTGTTCGAACACATTGGAGAATCGCTGGCAGAGGAATTCAACTACCTCCTCCAATGCCTCTAAACATGCATCGTATGACTCGGGGAGGCATTGGAGGACCTTGCTCTTCTCTGTCTCCAGCAATTGGCTTCTAACTTCGTGCTCGTCCATATAGTTCTTGTCAACGGTGAGCCAGTTCTCCACGTCCAATTTTCGAACGTCCATCATAACTCGGTACCTCTCCCTGCCCTTGATGGGTTGGGCCGGATAAGGAGCCATTTTCTTCAGATCGTTGCAACCCGGTTCTTGGGCATGTTTTGTGCGCCATAACGATGAAAGATTATTTCGGTATCTGGTGAAGATAATGGAAAGAAGAAAAATCGACAACGCAAGACATGATAGGGTATTCATTGCCGTTGAGAAGAAAGTCCACAACAAAAGGGAATGAAGAAAAGGGAAAAAGAAAAGAAGAGGATCTTCGATGAAGCTTTTTATTGTTCACGCATACAGGTCTCCACGTCGCAAGTCTGATGGGAAGAGGCAATGGGAGAATTCAACATGGCGAAACTCTCTGCTCCCGGCGAGGACAATGGCTCCAATTATAATCAGGAGAGTAAGCCATAGTCTCAAAGATCATCATTAGGGTCAGACGATTTAGCTACAAGTGGACTACTACATTCCGGATTCAGGGAGCTGGGTTGGGTTCTGATACGTTCTGTCTTTCCCCGCAAAAGCCGCAATTCGCCGCCCCGAAAAAAGAAAAGGAACCTGACAGCATCCACATGATCCCACTGAATTCTCAGCATTCATTTCAATCGAGCTCCACTGGGTCTTAGTGGTAAACGCGGGGGTGAGGATCCATCAGAGAGTGAACTCTATGTGGACGAGAAACTCAAACCATGCGCAGGTCCGTCTCCGCCCTGGATCCGCAGCCCGGCCCATGTACTAGCTGCTGGATGTCACTTCAATTGCGACGGTACCGGTGCCTACTAGTCTTGATTTGCCTGGATGGGAAATGGTACTAAGTTAACGCGCTTACTCACATACGAAAGAGTACTAGGCCGGGCAAGGGTTGTGACAGAGACAATAATACCACTCCCTACTTCCATTCTTCCTATGGAATCGTCAGGCGGAGCTCACGCGTATATCGTCCGTGCGCGCGCCCATTGGAAGACCTCGTGAGCTGAACCCGATCGGATCCTAGGGGAAATGATTCCCCTGTCTAACAGGTTCCTGCGGTTCCGCCCCAGCGGTATTCGTCTTTTTTTTCTTTCCCGGGGCAGACGCAGCGACATCGAAACGGGGACATCGTACTTGATGGAATTACGAAATGAGAAAGAAATAGCGCAGTCCGGTATGTTGGGACCACCTCCGGGGACCAGTCAAGCATGTCTTTAGACCGGAGTGCATGAAAATCATACATCATCACCTGTGCAACAGAGGGCACGATGACCGAAGGAAAGCGCGTGGGATGCTGCGTGGGCCGGCTTCCCACTCGGTACCGAGTGGGAGGAGGGTCATCAGCTCCCAGCGTAATGGCAAATAGACGTCCTCTTAGCCGGCTATGAAATTCTACGGACCTGCCTACCATGCTGGGGATGGAAAGAAGGCACCGCTTGGTCTCCATCTGTTTCGAGTGACGTGCTGGCAGTCTAGTCATTCCAGTTGCTGCGACTGGTCAGTCGGCTCCGGCGCAGCGATGCCACTATATTGGAGCTAAGTCGTTAAGAGAAAGCCCCAGGTCGGCACTGACGTACTGTGAGGTGTCCTTGCAGTCCTGCCAGGCCTCTGGCGCAGACTATACGCTACTCATCCGCTAGTGTAATTCTACTTACTGTGTTGGGACGTGCATCCCATCCATGGTAAGTTGATGCTCAGCGTGGGCGTGATGGAAAATTATGAAATAACCTGACGGGCGATCCACCTCCGGCACGAGTCCAGAATCTGCTCTTTTTGTTTTTTTCTCCACTCTTCCTAAATGAGCCCATCTGGGGTTTTGCGCTGCAACCGCCCCAGTTCGCGCAAAGCGCGCTTGCCGCAGGTCCAGTTTAATTGGGAACTAATTATCAGTGTCCGTTACGTTTGCTCTTCTCAATGTGCGACAAGACGGCGGTGTCTCAAGAAAGAATGCGTCTTTTTCTCCCACTCGTCTCATCTAGCTGGCTTTTGAGTCTTTTTTTTCCTTTTTCCACTTTTGGTTTATCTTTTACGTTGCTTATGCCGCGTTTCTTTGCTTTTCCTCTCATTTCTTTTTTTGATTTTTTATTTTCCCATCCTCTCTATACTCTTTCGGGATTGCTTACTTTGCCCCTTCCATCATTGTTGGGGCGATCTCAGATTTCCTCCGCCAGAAGATCAAGGTTAATCACCCTGTTTTCTTGCATTTCCTTTTTCTTTTTTCGGGTTCTCCTCTTCAGTTTGCATTCGTCACATCTGTCCAAAACCATCCACCGAGAGTATCAAATCCTCCGAGACACAGCGGGCTCTCGGACCGAAATGGACTTTCATTGCCCCCAACTTGCTTTTTTGTACGCCAGCTCGCCGATAGCAACGATGGGACAGTGGGGAGTTCCTAGTGTCTACTGCCTTGACTTGACGACGACGCTCTGAGTGGACTGACTGGCTTGCGGACCCAAAATTGTCTGCCTTTCGGCACAGCCTACTATCTTAGTCCATACGGTACAGGCCAAAACTCATGTCTAGACTCTCTAGGCCTCAGAAAAACACCGGCGCACGGTGTGGTAACCCACCTTTCGTCAGTGATCGTCGAATGATTGAAGAGGGATTTGCAAGAATCTCGGCGGGCCATACGGCATTACTCCGTAGCGACGGATTGACTCAGCTCAGGCCTAGTCTGAGTCTTTGGGAGCCTACTAAGTCGAGGGCTCCTCTTTCTGGACCACGCCATCGGAGTGGACGAGGAAGCTGCAATTCCGTGCTGTGGGACTCGACTAGGCCCAAGTTGGGTCCAAGTCCCAAGAGGATCGACTCACCGTGCACGGACGGCTATGCCGGTCCTACCATGGTGGTTCTCCACGATTCTCCGCATGGCAATGAGACTTAGTTCTAGGTCTACACCGGTCTTGGTAACTGATAAGCCACTGGCCGGTCGCCCTAAAGGGCAGCTTGTACGGTAAGATATTCGTACTTGTGTCAGGGCGTTTTACCCAGCCTCTGGCATCAGAAGTACAAGACCGGCTACCACTCGGGCTTAGATCGGGGAGGGCGTGTCTCGTCTCGTAGAGGGAGAAAGTAGTCCAGATGGCCAGGGTTTGCTGCCGCCGTTGCTGAACGGGGCTCTAGTGGCCTTGGCTTTTTCAAGGCAGCTGAACAGGGCGCTGCCTAGATCTTAGTAAGATGATGAAATCGATTGAGCCGACGGTACACAGACGCTGCCACGAAGGGGGAAGACGCCCGACAGACAGGTTTGGAGGGTCTCCTCGCAGCAGAGTGAAAACGTGGATGCAGTGGCCTTCCTGTTTGAGCGATTTGGAAGCCATCATGTGATCCAGCTGGTGAATGACCCCTGCATCATGTGATTGCAAGGAGGCTCGCTCCAACGTCCATCCCAACGCATCTTCCCCTCCTTCTTCTTTCTTCCCCTCGTCCCTATCCCAGGGAGCAAGCAAGCACTTCGCCCCAGCTGTGTCACCCCCCTCGTTGTTTCATCCTCGGATCCAACGAAAACTGCCACTGCAGGCTCATCACCAAGCCTCTCCACTCCTCCCAATTGGGTCATCTAGGCAGATCGTGAGGAACGTGTCTCTGCACTGCACAACGATGACTTCCTCAGCAAATGTTTCCACACAGTCCACTCCATTACCAGCTGATGCGGATGCCCCGCCAACCTTTCAGGAATGGTACTCCTTTGATGCACTCTCCAACTGTTGGAGCCCACTTCCACCCTCTACCTCAGTGACTTGCGATGAGAGCACAATGCCAGCCTCAGACAAAGCGGAACTAAAGATACCTGCACTTAACCTTGTAACTTGGAATGTAGATGCCTTCGCCAAGTTTCCCGATGACCGTATGGCCGGCATCATTTCCACCATACGCAATCAAACCACCCCACCTAACATACTCTTCTTCCAAGAAGTCCCTAAGGCAGCACTGTTTTACCTCCTCAATGAACCCTGGATTCGCGAAAATTGGTATACTAACGAGGGGGACCTCAGCAACTACGGGGGTCTCGCATTCATTACCGTGATACTCTTATCCAAAGCCAGTTTCAGTACAGACAGTCAGGACCCAGACAAAGCATGCCTCGGACCAGTCTGGCGAGTTAACTATCCAAGTAAGTTTGACCGAGACGCTCTCTGCTGTGATGTCTTCATGCCACAATCCGCTACCCGTGTCCGTTTGGTCAACGTGCATCTGGACTCTCTTGCCTTCCAGCCAAGTTGTCGTCCGCGGCAGCTCGCCATCGTTGCAAATAGTCTCCGTTGTGCCGGACATGGCTTCGTCGCAGGAGACTTCAACCCTGTCCTCCCAGAGGATGACAGTCTCGTGGCCACCAACGGTCTGGTAGATGTGTGGAACGAGCTGCACCCCGACGAACCGGGCTTCACCTGGGGTCTTGATGGTCGGGAACCTTTCCCTCCAGGACGGTTGGACAAAGTGGCCGTTCTTGGCCTGAAGGGGCAAGAGATGGACATTCTTCATCCCGGTGCAATCAACAGCGCGGGACAGGGTCTACTGCTACGACAATTGGATACCCCCATGCCCTGGAGTGACCATTCAGGTCTAAAGTGCTGCTTACGTCTTGCTAAAGAGCCCTTGTAAGCATATCATCAAACATTCCCTCTAGTCTCTCTCTCTCTCTTTGCTACTCTATGCATTTACCTCTTGAGTAAGGACACGCATATTCCCGGGCTCCCACCACAAACACACCCACACACACACGTGGCTCTACCATCCATTCATTCTATTCCATTAACCCCAACTGGTCAGACGCACCTGTCTACCAATGGATTTGCGTATAATAGGACAAGACAAGACCGGAAGGACATGGCTATCTCCAATGTCCTCCCCCATGCATATATCTATCAATGCATCCAATAAGCACCCCACATTTTCTATATACAGTAGTTGTGACAGCTTCATTTGTTGAAAACAGATAATGGATGATGGATGCCTTGATCCATTATCCTCCTAAACCAGCCACCAGCGTCAGACGTGCATGAACGTACACGTCTATATTATCCGTCTTCTTTGAAAAGGAACTACGTGGCTTATCTTGGTTTCCTACTGTAGAGAGTGTGAGAGGGAGTCTGATTTGACATATGCTTAGTAGTCTTTACCTAAAGAAGAAGTAGTTACTCCAGTTACTCCGTATGGGTGATGGAGATGGCTATTGTATGGTTGTTCATAATGGTGCCCAATAATTACCACAGTACTTCATACCGAGGTTCTTGATAATATAGGCATGATGGGGGAAAAAATAACTCAATGTCGGACAATTTCATAACCAATCATGTAGTCCCTAATATTGGGTATATGCACCTGGACGGTAATTATTGACCTGTCTAGTACAGTAGTAGTCGGCCCGGAAGAATGACTAGGTCCCGAAAGTGACAGCGGCGGTGGAAGAAACCATCATGGATAGTTTTGCCATTATGGGATTAAATAGAATTCATCAAAAAGCTCATCCAAAGAGGTATCCAGGGGAATAAGAAAACACAGACAATTGGCCCCAAAATCGGTGGGGCTCGCAACAAAATGATCATGTCCAAAATCGTCCACACGGACGCAAGCTCAAGCATATAAAACGCCCTCCCAGTGCAGTGCTGATCATCATTGGTGTATCACAAAAGTTGGGACTTCCACATTCAACCCGATTCGTACTCTCAGTCGGTTCTTTTTTCGGACCATCCATACAGGAGCGCTCTCTGCTGCCTGCCTGCCTGCCTGCCTGCCTAACCCAAGCAGGGCGCCGTCTACCTGAATTTGGCCCGGCACCGACCCATCACTTCGCCCTGACAGACAAGCTCTGCGCTGAATTCACTACCATCCAGTGTGAGGTAAATGTCAAAGTACACTCGGTAAAAAGTACCCTGAGGCGTGTCCATGCGCTCGAAATCGGTCTCCAAGTTCTTACGGGACAGATCGGAGGTGAGGGTGACGACTTCCTTGATACCTGCATTCAACGTTAGCACCCCATCAACAAGGCAGCCAGTCCGAAATGCAACTTACGTGGATCCTTAGTGTACTCGGGACAAACATCCTCATCGCACGCGTACAGGATATCCTCGTACATGAGGGTCGCTCCCGGCGCAACCTGCCGGAAAAAGCTCACCTTGACAGGCTCGCCGATTTTCACCCGCTCGCCCTTCTGCACGAAAATTTGCCTTGTGTACTTGCATCGGTCGCGGCCGTCAAGACTAGGAACACGGTATTGCTCGGGGTGATATCCTTCCTTGAAGGGTTGCAGCGTGGCCATCAGGTAATGGCGTCGTGCTACACGGTGCGTAATCACCCGCTCGGTGATTCCGGCAGTTACGGCACCTTTGACAATGGCAGCGACCGAGTCCATCGGTCGAACGACCTTGGACTGATACTGTGGAGGGACGTGGAGCTTGATCTGCTGGAAAAGATACTCCGAGGCACCGAAACCACCAACAACAAGGACGTTCTGCAATTCTGGTTAGCTTTCCAATGCAGCTGGGCGGACGGATGGTGGGTACAAACCTGAAGTGACCTGTTCTGCGCTTGGATCGCTATGATTTGATTGCGCACCAGCTCAAGGATCCTATTTACGACGGGCTCGAAGCATTGCAGGATCTCCTCGTTGGTGAACGTCATGTAACCCTCCTCGATGCCTGCGTCTGGGAAGTCGGCTTCAATTCCGACATCCACTGCCCATTTCTGGCCATTGTTGCGGAAGTCGGCCTTAATCCGATTCTCAAAGTCCATGATACATTTGGCATAAACCTTGCCTGCCGTGCGGGAGCCATCCGGCAATTTCATCTTGCGAATCTTCGCACGGAGAATGTTGCTAAAGTTCCGGTTGAGCGCGGTGGAACCACACGAATCTCCAGAGCCCGCGGTGCATTCCGCGACGCTGAACGGTTGCTCTTCTTCGACCTCATACGCAATCAAGTCGACCGTACCACCTCCACAATCGACAATCAGGATGGCGTCACCAATCTTGAGGTTCAGCAGACCGGTCTTTGCACAGAAAAGAGCCGCTGCCTCGGGTTCGGACACCAAGGTTAGGCGGTTGTCATTCTCGTCTCTCAGGAAGCCGGCCTGGAGGGCGGCGGCTCGTGTTGCTGCTTTCCCAGCATCGTTCCAAATGGCCGGTACGGTGATGTAGTACCGAATGTTTCGCTCTTCACGGGTAAACACTTCACCCAAGGTCTTTTGGAGTTGGGCCCGCATGGCCTGTCGCAGCTTGAAGAGGTAGTCGGCGGCGACATCGATCTCCGACTTGCCCGGGGGCAAAGGCGGCAGGTTGATGGGGTCAATGTACGTGTTTCCGGAGAGCATCAGCTGAAGCTTGAACCACTCGACTTTCTGTACCCCTTGCTTCGGGTATCCGGTGGGGGCCAAAGCATCAGCGATATCCGGGCCCCAACCCACCACCTTTTGGTACTGATCGTAGTACAGAACGGTCGGGATCTAGACGAGCCAAGCAAAGACTCTGGTCAGTAAGCTGGTCATGTGCGGAAGTGAGGGGAGGGGGGCTTCTCGGCACCTTTTGTTTGGTGTGAGTGCCTGCGCCAGGCCACTCTGTGATGATGTCCTCTCTCGCCTCGTTGTTGGTCGCGAATGCAAAAGCCACACCGGAGAATGTCGTGCCAAAATCGATTCCCACAATCAACTGAGCTTTACTCCGGCCGGCGCCTTCTACTTCGACGGCGGGGTTCCGCACGCCGTATTGGGGTTGGTGAAGGCCGGGAGCCATGCCAGGACCGAGCTGCTGTTGTAACCCGTAGCCGGGGGGAGCACCCATGGGGGCCATGGAGGACTGAGGATACGGTAGGTTGGTATTTAACGGCGGAGGGTGGTGAGGCATAGGCTGGCCTGGCGGCAGAGGGCTGGTGGGCCGGCCGGCGGTGTTGTAGGTGTAGCTCGGGGGGCGCCCCAAAGTATTCTGGTTATTCATGGGGAGGCTGGTAGTCGAGGAACTGGTACCGGAGGGAGGAGAGCTGGGCGAAGTGGCCGAGGAGGGAGCGGCGACGAGGGTGTTGGTAGAAGGAGCGTTCACAGGTTGGCTGTGCTGCACAGGCGAGTGATTCTTGTTGCGCTTCGTCCCGAAGGTGAACGATTTGAAGTTCAACCGTGAGCTCATCAGGTCGATATGGAAGACCGGATGATGGCACGGAGGGAGGATGCAGATTGGGGGGGAAATAAGGGAAGGAGGGGAGGGAATGAGAGGAGAGGAGAGGAAAGGGAAGGAAGGAAGGAAGAGGGGGAGGGAAAGAATGGAGGGAGAGAGGGAGGGAGTGTGAGAGAGTAAGCGGGTCAGATGGGTAAGGCAGCAGAGCAAAGCAGGTAAGAACGAAGGACAAGAGAAGGGAGTGAGTGAGTGACTCTCTCCTCCCCCAAAAGGAATGGAATGGGAATGGCAGGAAAAGTGGGCGTGGAATCGATTGAGGCGGAGTCGGAGGAAGAGGAGGAGGAGCAGCAACAACAACAGTTTAAACTAAACACAAACAGACGGGAAAGTTAACTGAACTTTGTCACCAAATTGATTGCGGGGGAGATGCGATGCGATGAGAATGTCAAGGATCGGGTAGATTCAGCCTCGAAAGGGGGATGGAAAGGGTAAGGGTAAGAAAAAAGAGAAAGCGAAAAAGAACCAACTAACTAAACGCCCAGCTAATTAACTAAGTCACTAACTAACAATCATTGCTTATGAAGTGAGATTTGGGATTGATTTGATGGCAGGGAATCCGTGCTCTGGAATGATTAAATTGAGAGGGTCGCGATAACGCCCGACTGGATCAGGTCTGTTCTGTCAACCCTGGATTCCCCTTCCCCAAATTCTCCGACTACTCCTAATGACGGTACTAACTCTCAGGGTTCTGTCTTGACGGGTCTGGATGCCATCAAAAAGAAAAAGAAAACAATTCAAGTAATATAATTTTATCTCGACCAGATAGAGTCTGGCGAATTCATGGTTGAACATGATTCTCTTTCTCAGCCTGATTCTATTATGGATGTATGATACCATACAGTACGGTATGGTTTGATACTGAAAGGAACCCCCAGTTTGGCCTCGGCGTAAAGAACCCTTCCGAGAGATTGAATTGATTTCATCCTCCACAAATTACCCATCTACAGTGAGATGAGAGTAAGTATTTCGCGTGCGATCATCCTGATCCTCGTCTTCCCAGCCTCTTCGTCTACCGTCCAAAGTACTTTTGTTTAACTCGAGATTGACACCCGATGATCCCTTATAATCGAGTGTTGGCAGTTGAGCCGATCCGTCTTCTTGTTGTGGGTGGATCTGCATCTGCCCGGACTGTGTCCTTTGTTTGGCCGTCCACTCCACTCATCCTCTGACTTACTAGTATTTACTTAGCCTCCCATGGACGGAGTGGACACACTCCAAGGAATGGCCCCAAGGAACCGGCGGGTTCAGCCACGCCCGCTAAGCCTTCGCCAGCCTTGTCTGTCTCTCTGTCTCTGTCTCTGTCTGTCTGTCTGTCAACTGTCTTCTTTCCCTCTTCTTTGTTTCGTTGTCTGCGGCTGAAAATCTGTGTCCCGTATCGCCGATCTGGTTTTATTTCCGTATGGTATCTTTCATGACACAACACCAGACCAACATCCCACCTCTTTTGTTTCCCTGTTGGCTTGCTGCTTACTCCCGACCGACACCGGCCTGTTTTGATGGTCGCCATCATCATCACCTGCCATCATCTACAAGACTTCAATAAAATCAGTCGTATATAACATCCTTTATACATTTTGTTTCCGTGCTACCCAATGCGACGGCCGATACAATGGCTGCAACATACTGTCCGGGTCCTGGATATATCCACACATGGGTCGCTCGTGCGGCGCCTCGCGCTTCTCGATCGCAAAGCCCATTCGCTCCACGAGGCAAAACACTTCTGCCTCCGTCAGCTCCACATTCCCGGGCTCCCCAATCCCCTGGTCACCTTGGCCCTCCTCACTGCCTCCGTGCTGACTGCGGTTGCTGCCGTCCTCGAAATGCCACAATAACGGTCCCACGTTGATCCAGAGCCCGTTGGGCTTGAGGCAGTGTCGGATCGCCTCGACGTACCGGATGAGATTCGGCGCCGTGTCGATGAAGAACACCGTCGCCACGGCATCAAACACCTCTTTGTTGCTGGGGTTGGTGTACAATACAGTAAAGTCGGCCGCCGACATGCTCATGCGCCCAAATGGCGCCGAATTCGCCTGAGCTTCCACCATAGCCGTACCCGGATGCTGATCCGGGATCTTGACCTCCTGCAATTGCTGCTCCCGGGACAGGAGGTTCGAGAAATGCAGCGCAAATGGATGCAGTGCGTGTTTCTGAGGGCCGAGCGTGTGGTTCAGGATCCAGCTGCTCGCCAGCAACTGGTGATAGGAGATCTCGTTTCCTTCCGCGGCGAAGCCTTGCCGACAGATCTCAAACACCAGTCTTCCTAGACCGGCGCCAGGAACCAGCACCCTGACTTCGTCCTCGTCTTCGGAGGACCCAATCCGCGCGCCGAACTCGTTCTGCAAGTCGGACAGCACAGGGCCGTAGCAGACGTCTCGCTCTGCCTGGCCTTCTTGACTCCAGTCCCGGTAGAATTGTCTCAGGGTGGAGTGCGCCTTGTTGACATCGGACTGAGTGGCCGTCCCGTGCCAATTCTGACGCGGGTCATTGGGGTCAGGGTTCGCAGAGAGCCCGAATGACGAGAGACCGGTGGTCAGGATGGCATCTGCGATGTCGGCGTTCACGTCGATGGCGTCATCCACGCGGTTGAAGTTATCAAGGATGGAGAACGGCGGCTCAGACAACATCTGCCAGTGGGCAGATGGTAGGGCATAAAAGGCCTGACGACGACGGTGAGTGGTGTTCATATGCGCCGTTCTCCGATATTGCCTGAGGGTGTTAGCAACGTAGACATGCCCGCGGACTACCACCGATTATGTTTAACAACACAACCGGTCACATCGTAAATGACTCACCTGAATGAATCAAAAGCAGCAAAAAGCACACGGCGCTCGGCATTATCAGCCAAGGGGTCGAAATCGCCCGACCAGCTGCGAATTTCATCTGCCTCGTGCTCGTCCATGGTGCAGTGACTAGCAATTGAATAATCAGCAATCCAATCCAATACTAGATAGGCCCGTAGCCAAGTAAGAATAGATCTACCTACCTACGTTCAAACCCCTACCGTAGCCAAAGAAAGAAACAACAGTGGTAACCCAAAAACCGTCGCAAAGAATGTAGCGGGGGACCCGCACAAGAAACTCACTGACTTTTGGCGGGGAAGATGCGGACCTCAAAGCGGTGATGCAAACCAAACCACCAAACTTCAACCAGCTGGCTAGCTACTAAGCAGACAACCATCTTGAACTACAAACCACAAACATACTCAACAGATACTCGGCATCTGCACACCCTATAATAATACCATCTCATCTTTAAATTAAGAAAGGAAAATGACAACAGAAATCAAAGAACTCTCCCTCCCCCTCCCTTACACCCCCCACACGACCGCCCACATCCACCTCACACGACACCAAACCTGCAGCACAGTATTCCTGACCTCGTCGACGCCGGGCGATGCAGCAGGGAGTATCAAGCCGATGGGAAGTTTTGTGTATGCGATGCCAGACGTGAGTAGTTTATCCTTACTATTCCTTCCCCCTCCCCGCCTTACTACCATTTTGCTTCTCGCAATTATCAACATACGTTCCTTACTATATATACCCATCAACCTTCAGTATAGTATACTATAAATACTACTAGTATACTAGCAGTGAGGGTATAAAACGATCTAACGAAGACTACAGAAAACGAATCCCAAAAACGTGCTATCAACAACCATCTACTCCTCCCCGGGAAGTGTAGAATACACGGCCCGGATTGCGAAGATTCTCGCAAGGAGAATGAAGACGCCTGTTTATGTGGGCGGGAGTATTGAGCCTGCGACGATGGGGGTGATGGCTGAGGAGGAGATTGAGGGGGTGAAGAGGATTGTGGAGGTTGTTGTTAGGGGGTGGGAGGGGATGAAGATATGATTTTATCATGTTTTGAAGTTGTCTTGTTAGGTTGGAGTGTTCTTATGGTGGTGGTAACTGTAGGTAGTAGTATTGGGAGAGAAGGGGTGGATGGATGAGGGATGATGGATGATGATGGATGGCATTGGGGGAGTTGGGTGTTTCTCTATTTCTTCTGTCTGTCTGTCTGTTAGTTTCTTGTTCTAGTTCTGAGTGTTTGTTTGATTATCAATCAATATATCCATAGTATGATACTCACGTAAATAATACAGAGTACTATAACTCTACTAATAAACGAAGATTATACCTCATCACTACACTAGTACTACTCATCGGACATTCCGACACACACCTCGGATATACCCAACTAACCACCTAGCACTTCAAATTAATACGAAGAGAGAAGCAATAACCAACGTCCAGTCAGTCACTGCAGCGGACCTACCACCTCCGCCCCATCCACCCCCAATTCCATATCCAATCCCAATTCCAATCCACTCAAGCCCGCCCAAATCATCTCCCTCCGTACGGAGTAAGTACGTAGTCTACCGGCCCAACTATCGGAACCACCTCCGATCATTTCGGGGCTACCTACCCGCTAACCACAACCTACCTAGTAGACTTACTCATCGTGGAGCTGTCCCATTTGATTAGAGGCTTAGCTTGGGCGTTATTACTAGTCTAGATTAATCATTGAGCTAGATGGTAACTGACTAGATAACTAGTTAGTAGGTGAAAGGATCAGTCGAGTCAAATTTGTCCGTGTAGGTGTTGTCCTCGCTAGGTGACTGACTAGTTAGTTAGCTTGCTTACTTGGTTGGTTAGTTAGTTAGTAAGTTGACTGTTGAGACTTGAAAGGTATCGTCATAGCCGAGGCGAAGCACGACACTATCTATCCACTATCCACTATACTATGGGATAGGTAAGTAGTAAGGAGGAGGAGGAGGGAATATGTAGACAGGTTGGATGCTGGAATGATCATGCGTTGCTTGATCTTATTTCATTATACGGAGTAGACTAGTATAGATTAATGAGTGGGCTGGGTGCATAGTGATACTTTCATATTCATTTATATCCTTGCTAAGTTGTAATGCCCTACCAACTAAGTAAGCAATCTGCATCACAAAATGCCTCACATCCGACGGATAACAGTATATTACTGCATCAATTAAAAATTAATCCAATTCAACATACGAATCAATTATCATCATCCTAGTGTGATATATTGGAAGCACTGACCCCGGAGAAAGACTATCCCAGGAATACCACTAACTACAAAGTCCTCGCGGACTAGCCTAGCGCATGTCCGACATCGATAATACTAGCAGGTAGTAGGGCACGAGCATCGCTTAGACAGTATCACTACTTGCAATAGCCGACGACTACACAAGTATACTTAGTATAACTATCAATCAATTGGTCTAGATAAGAACTATCTTCTCATCGAACCAATACTGCGTGACTACATCAACTGCTGATTGATTTCGTGTCGTCACTTGGAGTACTACGTAGGTAGGTAGAGTAGGTAATCATCACTCAATCCCTCGTAAGCATTGACCCGCGCGATCTCGGAATCTTTGATCCTCGGTGGATTGAGCACTACTTACTACTATCTAGTATCTACTTCCAGTGTGTTAATGTTAATCTCGCAAGATCCTTACAATCGGTAGAAGGATATCACAGATTGCTGTTGTTCGTAGTGAATACTATATCACATATTAAATCATACACATACACATATTTACAATCACAATACTGCCTAATCGGCATCGCCTATTTAAGTACTAGTACTCATCGACAGATCGATCGATCCCAAAAGGATATGACCTCACTCATCCATCCCAAGTGGAATCGAATTACGACGACAGGGAGAAAATAAATCAAATCAGCCAACATCACTGGCCCAAGCAACAACAAACAACAAGAGGTCAATGCATCCATCCCCCACGTGGACTGGTCGTGATGCCCCCCTGCTCACGGGCAATCGTCAATCATTGGGCATTGAGCCGACCGAAGTGGTGCCGAGGGCCGGTGGACAAGCAGCATACAGATTACAGAGATGGGTGCGGGAAGAAAAGAGGGGGGAGGGGGGAAGACGAAAAACGATGAAACAGGAGGCAGTGGCAACTGGCAAGAGAGTGTGTCTGTGTGTGAGACCCTTGTTGCTGTGACTGTGGGTTAGAAGGTTAGTCCCGGTGACCGGAACTCACCGAATTTTGGCGTTTGCGATGGGACGGACGGACGGGCTTGTATGGACGGATAGGTTTCCTGGGCTGACACCTCGGGAAGTTTACTTTCTTACTTGGCTCGCTAGATACTAGATAGTAGTAGTAGTTGTTTACGTAGCCGCCAGAGGAAATGAGGAATAGATAGATAGAGAGGGAGGGAGGGAGGGGAGATTAGTATACTTTTGGTAGTAGTAGATACCTATCTACTCCCTCATGACACCGCCCCTTCAGCATTAGTAGCATTGAGAATACGAAATGATTATCTAGTAGAAGCGATGCAGGGTCGGTCTGGCCAGACAGCTAGCTAACTACTACTAAGCTAGCCAAGACTCTTGCCGTGGGATGTAACAGGGAAGGGAAACTGACTAGTAAATCAGCGCGTGCGCAAAAGAGGAATTGGGAAGAGATGAGACCATCATCTATCCATCTAACTATCTAAGAAAGATGGTTACAGGATGGGGTGCAGCGGCAGACTGTCACGGGATGGACCGTCCACATGGGGATGGATAATGGAGGGAGGGGATGGGAGAGGGGGGCACCGGACCCTGGGAATTGATTGATTGTGCGCTGCTACTAGCAGAGCAAGAGAAATTACCATTCACCCAATAATAATCATCCGGTCAGTTACCCGGTGGTTGTCTCCAAACCGGACCACATTAGCATTAGTCTCATACTGTACGTATCTAGCCATACTCCAAAGGGATCCTTTCCCGTCCGGCTGTCGGAATCTGCGCCCATTTCTATGCGTTTGACTGGCTGCTAACTTTAGCTCACCGGAAAGTGCGACTGGCTGACATGACAGCCCCCCCTCGGAGTCTCGGAGACGGATTGGGAAGAGAGATCACGACTATCGTAACCATCTCTCTCCACCTTGTTCTTAATCATCTTGTTATAGGTCATAGAGAATCCCTATTAATTCCTCGTGTAGACTGTGTGATCGATCCCATTGGCGTCGACTATCTACTTACCCCTCAGGTGGCTTGTCTTATCATGGGTGAATGATGATGGTGGTGTTGATTTAATTTCCGGTCATCTCCAGGACCGTCAAGACGGGCTCTAAAGGTCTAACCGTATCGTCGCATCGTTAGAGATCTCGGTTAGAATATCCGGCCCGGCTACGTTACATGCCACCACCACCTCTCCGGCCTTACCAGACTTGCAGTCGCTAGTCATCCTTAGTCACGACCTCTTAATCTCCTTTTTCATTCCCCGTGATTGATGGTCGAGATGATGATAATTTCGGTGGATATTATTGAATTCCGCTTCGTAAAAACGGCATAACCAATGTGGTATCCAGCAATCGACATCGGAGCCTAGGCTCACCATCAGGCATCTGAGCACACCTGGCTGATACTGATGCGGGGACCCAAGCCAGCATCATCTCGACACGAGCCTAGATGCCCAGCTAGAGCTGTCCAGGTTCCTGAGCCGAGCTTCCAGCCAACGGGCCGTCATGCAACCAACCCGCAGGCCTCAAAAACGAATCCTTCCGCGACAATAGACCTCGCGACGTCTTACTCCGTACTATGCTTTGCTAATCCCATTAGTATGACCGGGCTGTGCGCCTGGCCCTCCACAAAGGGATAGGCCTGAGCGATTGTAATGTTCGATTCGATAGGCCCAGAAGCAGACCGAAAATATCAGAAACAATGATCAGAGTAATACTTTCTAACAAATCACGAAAATGAAGCATGAGGGGCCGAAAAAGAGAAAGCAAGGCTTCTAGCCCACGGCACAAGACAGGGGGGAATGCGTAACCTGCACCGACGAGGAATGCGGATGTTGTCCGTCTGTGCGACCTCTCCCACTAGATTGGCTGGGGATATCATTTCCGCAGCAGACAGGGCAACATTTTGTGTGTGTGTGTGCGTGTGTGTCCAGTAGAAAGAAATAGCAGCATGCAGCTGGATCCATGATGCGGCTAGAGCTCGTGCCCACCCCGCCCAACTTCTCTGGTCCTGCGCAGGCACACGACGGTCATAGTCGGCGCTCGGTCGACGGTCATCGCGACTCGGAGCTAGTCCTCGTGCTTCCTTGAAAATATGTAGGTACCAGGAAGATGCGTCAGTTACTGGGCTCTCCGGAATCCGCGAGCCGAAAGGGAAAAGTAGTAGAATGGTGCCTAACCAAATATCATCCTCGTCAGCTAGCCACTCGGAACACGATGCCTACAGTACGATCGATGGCTGGATTGAGACATCTCCGAGGGAGCGTCTGCTGATTATCAGTGCGACAAGCAATGGACCCTGTTTCCACTATTTTCCCTTCCGTTTAATTGTTGGATCGACATGACCGTCAGGAGCCCGAGCCTTGATGGATGCCGCACACACAGACACAGACACACCACTAGATACTGGGATAGGGATGCCAAGTTCGACTACCTGATGATAGTCTCTCGCCCGAGTCGACGGTTGAATGGCAACTGCTGAGGAGAAGGAACATACGCCCCCTCATTGGCCCAGAGATCTGACGGCTAAAGCTAGTCCACGGGCCAGGCTGACGGCGGTGGATGGCAAGTGATACGGTGACCACACAAGCCTCAAAAAGCCTCTCGAAGACAAATGAATTGCGTAGGAGAAGGCGCCAAGCGAAAATTCTGAAGAGCTAAAGAGGATAAGATTAACCCGCCAACAGTGAGGAAAAGGGAAAGAGGGGAACTCGGAGAGAGAAAAAAAAGGAACGAAAAATCTCCCATCAGATCCCGCATACTAAACTACATTCAGCAGGAGCAAGAATATGGCAAAGGCCGAGGAATGGCAATCATAACCAAATTCTAGGCGAACCGATCTCTCTCTCTCTCGCTCGCTCTCTTTATCCGTAGAGGAAAATAGATCAGAAATAGAAAAATAATAAATAATAAATAAAAGTAAAAATAAAACACAAAAACGATGGGCCGGGGATTTTTCGCTCTGGCCACCACCCGGGCGGTTTTTTCCGTGTTTCGTCCGAAGCTGGCGTCACTTGTAAGACTCCAACTCCGCCACGGTGATCCAAAGTCATCGTCAGCCAGCAGCAGCAAGCAGCAAAAAGCAGCTCACCGGCTCAATTGACAGAGACAGAGAAGGATGCCCAGAGACAGAAAGAGGCATTAATATTATTATTCCCCATCGCGTAATATGCAGGATTTGCGGTGGAACTTGACCACGGTTGCTGCCTCGTGCGTCCATGTGGCTCGGCCAATAGGCTCTGTCCGGAGGCGGGATTCCGAGTCGATCGTCAGAACGATGCTGAACTGCTCGTCTGGTACGGATGGTTGAAGTAGATAGTAGACCAGTAACCAATGAGAATAATGATACTGCTGCTGATGAATGAATGAATGAATGAATGAATGTCTTGTCTCCCCTTGCACATTCTTCTACTCTCGGAGACATGTACGTATGCCCTGAAGAGTTATGTAGCACCCTGTTCATCCGAGTCAATCCGCGGGAGTCACTGACTAGTACCCTGTAGTACTACTAAGTAGGGTCCGGCAATCGTGGCGCGCGCAGGTTACTGTCCGACAGCCAACCATGCTGCTGGAGACTATCGAACTGTACGGCCCGAGGGCAAATGCGCCTCCGACGACGTTTCAGGAAACACATCCCCAAATTCACGCACATCCCTCCCACGTACTCAGGGGGAGAAACCAGCAACACACGGACTCCATCAGCATCGGTGAGGAGAATTAAGAATAGTAAAAACGATCCGCTTCAACATCCAATCAAACCGTTGAGGAGCCCCATCGACCAGGTGGTAAAGGCGGCTTTGACTTTCCATGTCTCCGTCATCACTGTGTCCTCCTGGAACACGCCAACCAACCCAAAGTAGCAAGCTGATGGGTAGATGCGAAGAGGAGGGGGGAAGAAGGAAAGTGGAAAGCCACTCGGCTTTGACGACTCCCAGGGCTCCATCCATGGATGGAGAATGGGGAGGGGGGAAGGAGAGGACAGGCTTACTGTAGACAGCCTAGCTAACAGTTGGAGTGCCAGGAGTTGCCGTGATGATCATCAGCGAACCACGGCGGTTCCAGGCTGAACTGGAAGACGAGAGAGACGTACCAATCCAAGCCCGGCCAAGGCCTAATGCCAGTCCTGCCCAGAACAACCTGATCCATGTCAATTCCGCCTCATGGATTACAAACTAGAAAAAGACTAGTCAAGGGCCAAGGAACCTCCTCAGCTGCAGGTCAGAATTTAAGCACGGAGTTGCTCTCCGTACCGACGAATGTCAGAAGTCAGAACCATAGTTAAAATCCCCTTCCAACTACTCTCAACCGTTCTTCCGTCCCAGCCTCTGGGAAGCTCAGCCGTTCCGCCCTTTTCCTGAGTGGGACCTCGTGGCCCATGGATTCACCAAGAATTTTTTTTTTTTTTTTTTTAATTTCTGGGCAAACCGTAGATGAAAAAGAAATAATAGAAATACAAAATGGTAGATTGAAACCAAATTAAGACGAGCAGACAGGTTGAAAAAAAAAAAAAAAAACAATTGTGACGGACACGTTGTGGATAGCCGGTACCCAGGAAGACACTGCCACTGTCGATCTCGGGATACTCTCAACTAGCCAGAGGTCTGATCCTCTACTAAGAACAACCAGCTCAACAGTCAACAGCCTGTGGGCGGGTAAGCGCAACGAAAAAAACGAAAGAAAGAAAAAAAGAGGCCCCCAAGCGATGGACAATGGGGGGAGGGAAAGAAAACGGCGAGCCCAACACGGGAGCTTGTTACCGGAAGGCTGTGGTGCAGCAAAGAGACACACACGCGACGACGGGCCGTTGTAGCGCTGGTTGTTAGTACTAAGTAGTTAGTATCTATCTAGTAGTAGGTGCTAACTCGGTAATCCATAATAATAGTAATTCCATGAGGCGCAGGAAGCAATTTAGAAGTCGCAACGATCAAACAAAGAACCCACACACCGGGCTATTCCGTAGGGCCAGTGGTTTTTAATATATGAGAAACATTCGCATCGAGAGACAATAATAATTTTAGCAGATGGACCGCCGGAACTGGTCCCAGCATCGTCATCGTCATCCCGCTCGTGTTGCCCCTCCGAATTGACCCAATGTGGGATCAGGTTGAAACTCATCTGGCCATCAGAAAAAAGCAATTATTTCATCAATCAGCATTGAATAAGCAATGAGGGGGTGAAAGCAGACATAGAAAAGACCGTAGAAGTACAAGGAATGACAAGGATGACGACAAATAATATAGTATATGAATAAAATGGAAATAAACCCAGACAAAAAGAGTAGAAAGTAAAAAAGTAGAATAAAATAAAAATAAATAAAAATTAAAAAGCCCACGCAGGAAAACCAACCCGCCAGTCAATCAACGGGAACCGGGGCCAAGAAGGAGAAAAATAAAAAAATTCAAAATAAAATAAAAGAAGGCTGTCGGCAACAGATTCCTAAGGATAGACTTCTGCAGTAAGCTCATTTGCTAATCTCCGCACCCCCCTTCGATCCGATTTGCGTAGGCACCTGGTCTCGTTTCAGCCATGGCTTTTGGGATTATTGAATATTTTTGTCAACCGCCGAGCTGCTTAGCACTAAACTCTGTAACCGGGGTCAGCCGAGAGACTTTCGGAGCCGATTCCTGGGCATGGATAGGACCCTGGCGCAGGAGCTCTGGCACGCCATCCGAGGCCTGGTCGCATGCAAAAAGTGGGCAGCGGCGCTTGAGTCGAGCTTGTTCCCTTTTCCCCCCTGGTATTGTAAGTAGTGTTTCCCCCCTCCCCTCTCTTCTGCTGGTTCTGCCACCAACGGAATGGACGGAAATTGTCTGGGATGGTGAGAATGTTTGTAGCAATCAGATACTCTTGAAGAAGTAAGGTTCATGAGAAGACAGCCAGTCTGCTCCAGTAGTGTTGTAGGGGTCTATGTTTCATAGACCAGATCTAAGTAGGTTACTAGTAAGTAGTTAGTCGTAGAAGAGGGCAAGTGATGCTCGGAAACGGGAAGCTGAAAACAATCGGATCGAATAAAATAAAACAGTAGTAATAATATTAAAAATTATTATCCCAATTTAAAAAATAATAAAATAAAATTTTAGGAAAATCCCAGAGGCTCCGAGGCGGCGATGAAGAAGGATGGATGACTGACGACGTCTGCTCGTTCTTCTTTAGTAGTTCATCCAAAGTATGACCGAGACTGACTGACGACTGGCTTATCATCCCTTCCATGACTGTCGTTGGCCGTCATTCTCATTCTCTTCCTCTGACACTATATTCAACCTTCGTGGTCCCCGGGCTGTCATTCCCTTCTCCCTCTTTCCTTACTACTACAACAATAACAACAACCACTACTACTACTACAACTACTACTTACTATTCCTCCTTGCTATCCCTCTTCTCTCCTTTGCCCAAAGAGAACAATAACTTGCCCGCGTATTCATCGATTTTTGACTTTACCTTGTCTGCCAACTTCCCAACCCTCCAACTCAGCTTCCGCCTAAAGTACTATCATCTATCATCATACATTCGCCTAACGCTGTGCCCTGACCTCTTGTCTGGTGCTTGGCTTCGTGCCCACGTTCCTTGCAGCTCGTCTACCTCGGTGTTTCTACTTCATCTCTATCTTTTCTATTTGGCTGTTGTATGGCTTCATCAGCGCCCACAGGACGACTCATCTCCATCTGTCCGCTCCAACGACAATAGAGCTACCGCTTCTAGATGACCCCACGGTAGCCCCATCGTCCCAACTTAACTTTCTGGTCTGGAGCATATTGAACCCTGTGGCTCTCTGGTTCGGGTGTAATTTTGGCGCGATCGAGACAGTTCATTGATTGATTGATTTCCATCCCCCCCCCCCCATTTGCCATCTTTTGCCACTGCGGCCAGCTTCCCGATTCAATCCACACTTTCTCGGGCCTCTTTCTGGGTTGGCGCTCGGGATTTCTGCCGTCGATTCGGGGTCCAATAATTATTCCTCCCTCTTTTCCCCTCCCCATCGTTGTTTGCTGTTGCAGTTGCAGCTATCATCATTCTGCACTAGTGTCGCATTTTGAGTTGCACACTATAGGAAGGACGGTTTCCCCATCGGCTTGTGCTTCCTGCTTTTATTTTGCTCGCTTTGTATCATCCAGATTCTCCCCCCGCCTTCCGTGCTTCTTCCATCGGACGAGCGGGCAGCTTCGTCTGGTCCGCAATCGCTCCGGGCTTGCACACCCCCCTCCTTCTTCTCCTCCCCCTCAAGTGTCCCCCCTTATGAGGTTGCATTGCGGGTGTCGACATGCAGGCGCACTACTATCATTCCTCGAGTAGCCCGAACCAACCAGGAGGGTCATATGAACTTCCTCCGGTGCACGCGGTGACCTCGCCTCCAGCTCCATTTCAACCGCATGGGCCCGCACCTGCTCCTCTACTCTCCGCTCCGCCGAGTCGACCCGACAGCGGGTTGAGGATGGCCCATCTACTGCAACCGTTGGCACAACATATGCCCAATCCCCCCCCACCTCCCGTTACAAATGCTCCCACCTACGCTCGTTCATACGAGTCGAGTGGCTCTCCTGCTGAAGGCGCATCGATGCTCGCCGATGCGCCTCCCCTCAATGGTCCCGGATTGCTTCAGCCGATGGGCGGAGGTGCTGCGGCTGGACCGCACCCCCATCATCAGTCACAGCAGCCTTTGCAGCAAAAGAGGGCCTATCGACAGCGAAGAAAGGACCCCAGTTGTGATGCCTGTCGGGAACGCAAAGTCAAGGTACGTTACGCCGCAGTGACGGTGACCCTGGTGGTCACCCTCGTGAACCCAGCATGGCTCATTCCATTTAGTGTGACGCTTCCGAGTCGTCCAGTTGCACAGAATGCACCAACCGTAAAGTGCGCTGCCAGTTTACAAAGGAGACGAATCGACGCATGTCTTCAATCAAGTTCGTGCCGTGGCTGTTGTATTTGTGGGAATCTTGCCTTTCTAATCTGACTGCAGGCAAGTCCAAGACCTCGAAAAGCAGCTGCTGTCGACCAAGCAACAACTACAGCAACTTCGGTCGGGCATGTTACGATCGGACAATCTGATGGATCTGGATATTGATGGTGCGGGGCAGCCTCAGCTAAAGCTGCCGGACGCCGGGTATCGTCCCCCGCGCCGGCCACAAGCGCCTGTGATGCAGGATCTGGCCGAGGCTCGCGCAAATCTGCGAAAATACGGCAAAGGGATCCTGAGGGTGCCACCTCCATACCGTCAGCCGGGCCCCAAGTCCTTGATCACCGCTGATCCTCCACGCCTTCCCCCGAAGGAGCTGGCCAATCGCTTGCTGGGACAGTATTATGCTTGCATTCACTCCGTCCTGCCTGTAATCCATTGGCCGACTTTTGTCGCCCAATTTGAGGAGGTCTACCAAGCAGGAACCCTCCTCGGCGTGCCCCGTGAATGGGCCGCGGTTCTATTTGGAGTCTTTGCATGTGGGCGTTTGCACACCCTGGAAGCGAATCGGGAACAGGAAGGAAAAGAATTCGTGACCGTTAGTTGCGGGGTGATTGATGTATGGCAGGACAACTTCACCCTGGACCAGGCACGGGCGGCGCTGCTGGTCAGCATTTTCTTGTACGAGGTTAATTCTCAGTCGGCGAGTTGGGTCTGGATTGGGTCCGCAATCCGAGTCGCGCAGGAGATTGGCCTGCATTTGGAGTCGGGCCCTTGGCCCCCTCTGGAAGGTGAGATGCGGAAGCGGTTATGGTGGGGGATGTACACCTGGGATAGGTATGAGCTGCCAGCGATGGTTCACTCATTTGATATCCGGCTAACAGTAATTGCAGGCTTCTCGCTTTGGAGATGGGAAAACCAGTTCTCATCAACGATCAAGACTGCGACGTAGGCCTCCCGTGTCCCATCGACGAGCAATATCTTTCAGACGGCGGTGTGGTACCGGAAAGCCCCCAAACGTCCCCATTACTGGCCACCATTCATGTGGTTCGATCAATCGGCCAGCTGTCCCGAACGTTGAAAAGTCCGACAATGAGTCTCGGAACCCTTGAGACTTTCGAACGACACTTTAGCACCTGCCTCGCAACCTTCCCTCCTCAATATCACCCTACAGCCGACCAGTATCTCGACCCCCGCACCCTCGCCCCGATTCTCTACCTCCAAAATGCTCGCCTGATCCTCCACCGTCATAATATCTCTCCTTTCTGTCCTCCTGAAACTCGAACATCATCATTGGACTATTGTGTTTCCACCGCCCAAGATACCGCTCGCTTACTGTCCCGCTGTATGCGACCACCATCCAGCCCTGGAAGTGGATTTACGGCCACGAACGGTGACGACTGGAGGCCCCTGCTGGCGTCCTCCGCAGGAACCATGCTGTGTGTGCACCTCTGGCGCTGTGCACTTCTACTCCTCTTTCGCCAGGATTTCGCTCCTGCTCTCGTCTGTGTCCAGGCGTGTACTGCTATTGGTGATTCGCGCGCCGTGAATATGGCCTGTGGACGCTATCTTGCGTTCTTCCTCAAAGTGGTTTTGGACCGGCTACGGCGCAACGAATTAGCAGTGCTCGAGCGTGACGAAGAGTTGATGGTTTATGTATCCGGCGACATGCAAGGAAGCGCCGAAGGTAACTGGGTCTGGCAGGGCAGTGAGACCGGCTCGCAGCTGGAAGTGATGTCGCCCAAAGTCAGCAGCCCGGTGGCATATTCCCATCCGGAGGCCAACGCAGGGCCAGAAGGGTGGGAGGGGTGGAAGTGGGTAGAGCAGACGGTGCAATACCTCCACGAGAGACAGCAACAGCAACAGCAACAACAAGATCTTCAGCATCGTACCAAGCCCGCGGAAACGGCATATCTTGGGCCGGAATCAGCCACCGCGAGCTCTGATGCGACGACTCCGCAGTCGAGCTCGTCTCATTCGCGCATGACCATCGCGAGCATTATCTGAGACCGCTCGCGATGATGCCACTTCACAATGTGGCAGATATGAACATCAAAAAAATCAAGTCCTTCACATTTAATACGGCCGAAGCTTAACGTTCGGACTCGCTACGAAGGCGACTCACCGGCCGCGCCATGAGAGCGAGCACGCGAGGGGCCCGTTTCCCTCAGACCGGACAAGACCCTTGTCCTACTCAAAACTTGTATTACTGTTCCGGCAATTGTGGGAGAACCCCACAGGCATGTGAGATGAGATCATGGATTACGAATCAGCTGCGATGTTTTACCGACGTAGATATAATGTTGGACTTTTTGTATACAGTACACGCGTGTATAGCCGAACCTAGACTTACACCTCTCTCCTTGTCCTTTCAGCCATCACATTTGATTTTCAATAGCATAGTGCATATTGGACTAGCGTTTACAATTGGGGATGCTAATGCTAATGCTAATGCAATCATCATCACTCTGTCTCATTATTACACGAACAACAGTAGTAGATACTAAGCTAAGATCCGATATAATTAAGTCTCAAGGTTAATGCTCCGTCCAAACCGCGCATACAAAGCCACCTTCAGCTGCTGCAACTCCTCCCGCAGATCACTCAGTCCCTCCTCGAGCTTGCTCACATCGGCATCGACCTGCTCTGTTGCCGTCGACAGCAGAGACTGGGCCTCTTCAAGGGGGAGTTGGAAGAATGCATCTCCGATTTTGTATCTGCATTGCAATTAGCACATCCCTAATCCCTCCTTTTTCAAGCTCTGGCTCGCAGAGATTAAGTGAAGAAAAGAAAAAAAAAGAAAAAGAAAAACTTACGGCACCAGCTCATCCTCATCCGCCAACTCCAGTTCCGTGGAGATTTCTTCTAAATCTTCTTTATCTTTCTGGGGTGGGTTGTCAGATTCAATCTCTTTTTCTTTCTTTCAAAATAATGTGTATAAGGGGGTTAGAATCATAATGCATATGCATATTCATATCCCCGTTTATTATTTACTTGAGGAATGTAAGAAAAAAGTAAAATGAATGAACATACCATCTTCAACTTCAACTGCTCCTCCAGCAGCGTCTCGCGCTGGTGCAGCCGACTAAAGCGATTGATCTTTTCTTGGTCCTCGCGGCGGACTTCGTTGTCCTCGCTGCCCGTGAGGGCTTCGTCTTCTTTGGTGAGCTGATAAAATTCTTAGTATTTCATACGCAAATTGTGTATAGGAGTTTGAAGGGGTATACGTACCATGCGAGTTTGCATCATCTTGGCGGGGTTGTGGTGGGATGTTTGTTAGGATGGGGATGGATTGATATTTGATTGATTAATTAATGTGATGATTGTGAGGGGAGCTGGCTTTGGGTGCCTGAGGTTTGTAAGGCTGCAAGGCTTTAAAGGTTTGGTGGGCTTTTTGGGGTTGGTCTGTGCGGGTTCATTGTTGGTGCCTGAGGATAAGAAGGTGGTGGTGATGTGGTGGGTGGGTTTATGCATTGTACCATAATGGTTATTTAAATGATGAGAAGAGGAAATTACTTGGGGTGCATAGGATGTGATATGTGTATTTTGATATGGTTTTTATGTTATTTACGGTGATTCTACTTTGCTATGTCTGTATGAGGCTGGCAATAGATTTCATTTGGTTTGGTTTCATTTTGTCACTATATGATATAGCTTCTATATTGATTTGAGATCAAAACCGGATTCCATATCCGTACAACTAACCACTACACTTATGCGATGCATTCCCTTTGCAGCAAGAATCGAGATACTTCCATCCCCATCGATTGAATATCGCCAACACCATCTGGTCGTGTGACATCATCCCCGTCAGGTGCCCTCCGCATTGCCGATCACGTTCAGCCGCTGCCACGAGAGATGACCCCAATCGCCGAGCCATCTCGATTGTTTGCCGTCATCTACACGATCATCTTTGACGGTTCCAACTTTCCTGTGCCTTAATAGTCAGGTGCAGACGTTGCATGTTCAACTGTGGTGGTTCAGCGGTGATTGATCCGCTTCGCCTCGGAGAAACCAAGACTCCCGGCCACCGCATCGCCGACCTCCGCGTCGGGAACAGCTCCATCCATACCGTTGCGTCTCCATCTCCATCTTCATCGTCATCTCCTTTGGGGCACCTAGCTCCTCTGCACACAACTATAGACCAGAACTGGAAATCAGGGGCTCCAGAATTAGCGAAAACTTCCCCGTTCATTGTTCTCTTACCACTCATACCCCATTAACTGTCGAGCTGAGCTCCGGTCATCACCTATCTGTTTATCAGCTTCATCGCCTCCCCAAACCAATCCAGTTCCTCCCCATCAGCAACACACAATCCAACCTTCACCATGCGAATACCAACCGGCCTCTCGACCCTCCTCTTCTCCTCCGCCCTCCTCCCCGGCCTAGCCTCCGCGTCCGGCGGCTTCGACTGCCACAACATTATCGTCGACAGCTACAAATATGACCTCAGCACTCTCGGCGGAGTACACACGCTCTACCACGTTGACGAGACAGAAGACTACGTCGTCAACACAACCTACGTGCTCAATATCTGCAACATCCTCAAGGGCGCTGCCCATCGCGGCCACCTGAAATGCCCGACCTCCAAGAACAGTACGCTTACCCTGTCCACCACCCTCCCCTGAAATTGTTCCTAGCTCTTATGATTAACCAAACTCTTACCCCAAAACAGTCTGCGGCTTCCAATACAAAACCGCTCTTGATAGCCACAAAGAAGAAAGTACCGTCTTCCCGATCGTCGGCCTCGACCACCTCGGCCACGGCACCAAAGACGCTGAAATCACGCGCCTGAAGAAGCTCGATTCCGAACAAGAAGGTCTCCTCGTCAAACTCGCCGGAGGCGAATACTTCGACGAAGATCAACAGAAGAAGAAGAACGCGGGCGCCGTAATCGAGTTCCAGTGCGATCCCGACCGGTCGGGATTAGAGGGATTACAGACGACCGAAGACACCGAGGAGGAGCGTCGTCGGCAGTGGCAGCTGAGTCAACGGGCGGACGAGACGAACGGTGACAACGAGAATAATGACAACGGTACTATCCCTGAGGGCGGACGCAGTTTGCAGTTTAAGAGCTTCGGGCCCGCAGATGATGATACCTACGTGCTGAAGCTGAACTGGAGGACGCGCTACGCGTGCGATAATTACAGGGATGAGCCGGGTGAGAAGAATCCCGATGGTGGTAATGGTGATGGGTCGAGTCATTGGGGTTTCTTTACTTGGTTGATCATTATGTATGAATTGCCCCCTCCCTCCCTCTCCTTTATACTATCCCTGTTAAAGACCGGATCGAACTAACGAGATTCATCTGAACAGCCTCTTCCTCTGCATCGCAGCATACCTCATCTTCGGCTCCTGGCTCAACTACAACCGTTACGGCGCCCGCGGGTGGGATCTCCTCCCGCACGGCGACACGATCCGCGATATTCCCTACCTCTTCCAGGACTGGTTACGGCGGGTGGTCAACACGCTGCAAGGGACGGGATCTAGAGGGGGATATAGTGCTGTTTAGGGGGTTTTAGAGATTGATTGATTGATTGATTGCTCTTTTTGTTTCTTTGTGTAGTTTGTCATGTTGTTTGCTTGGGAATAGTTGGATGATGAGGTTGTTGCTAGTATCGAAGAAGAGGATGATGATGATCACGAGGATGATTCTATTATATGGTGGGATAAAGAATATGACACGATAAGATAGTATGTATAAGGAATATCGCTATGAGAGTGATAATTTGGGGAAATATATCAACTGTAGGAATACTAAGAATGTAGTGACTACTTAGTACTTAAGGAAAGCAGGGGTGCAAACCTGGCAGCCTGACTACAAATCGGAGAAGTAAAGATACTACTAGAATATCTGGTAAGATAGTTAATACCAGTACTATTATAGGCGGCTGAAATGAGGTCAATATCTAATCTAAGTAGTAGCGTAGTAACTATCCTCAAATAATTCTCTGGATATTAGTTAGTAGTAGGTAGTATTGTAGTAATGGAACCTCATTGACCGGGCTGAGAAGTAACAGGCAAAAAAAGTATGACCCTCGAGAGTGTCTATATCCAAGTAGGTCTTAAAATGGATAGACAAATAAATTACTTCGTTTCCAGGCATAATTCTTGTATCGAACAGCCACTCCTGACTGTATGATCTGTCCTATTGCACACAGGAAGTAAAGGGTTGGTGAAACCAACGAGTCAGACCGCTACTACTGCTCCTCCATTATGTAGCAGTTCGGATAGCCCAAACCCAACACCAACACCATCACCATCACCATCTACATCTACACTACCAAAGAAGCACACCAATATAGCGAATCAATCATATTCCACCAGAATTAAATTCAATCTCCCACCCTTCCTTTCTTGACATACTTGCATGCATGCATCGCTCATGAAAATAAATCACAAACAAATCAGTCAAATAATAAATCAACATGCACAGATCATCATCACATCAAATGGCGTCATCAAAGCTAAGAATTCATCATGCCTGAGCATTCGTCACCCAGCATACCATTCCGAAGTTAAAAGAGTGGATTAACCCCTCTTTTCATATCATTCTTCCTCCTCTTCTTATTTAAATCCATCCGGTCCCCCGGTTCTTCGTCCGATGGTCTCTCTTCTTCTTCTTCTTTCCTCCCGATGGTGGCCCGTAAGGACAACCTGTCCTATCCTGACCTGACTCGACCTACACGCGCATGGCAAATTGCTTCAGATACAAGTAATCGGCCATGTTGGCGTCGACGGTCTGTCGGATGAGGTCTGCTGCCTCTGGGCCGTATTTCTTGCGCCATTCGGCGTCCCATTCTTCTTCTGTCTTGACGGCATGGGGCTGTTGGGTGGTGTTAGTGACTAACTACTACTTGCATAGCATGTAGACAGGGGGACACGTGAAGCTGTGTAGGGTCTACCGATAACTTACATGCTTTCTAGCAACCAGGCCCTTCGACTCGATCGCATCGTTGTGAAAGCCGCGCCACTTCTCGAACTTATCCCGAGCGACCTGGTGGTCT